ATACATATACATACATACATACATACATACATACACACACACACACACACACACACTGAAAGAGTCAATCAGGAGACACTATCAATAGAGACTATTACCCGAGTTTTGAGAACTCCATTCGGCAACTTTATTTCAAGAAACTTGAGGATTCCATCCCCCCCACCCCACCCCCCGGGTAGATATTTGAAAAGAAAATAAAGAGAAGTTCCATAAGGAAAAGTATGACAATACAGTGATCCTAAACAACTTTGACTATACCAGCAAGGTGTATTCTAAAGAAGGTTAACTGAAGGTGACAGTTGAGGATGGTGAGCTCTAACACTATAGTAGATTTGGGGTGGATATTTTCTTTTAACCAAAATATTTTTATAGTGCCAACCCTAACCATACAGCTGCACCAGCACAAATGTGTATCTAGGCATTTTTTTATCCAAATAACTCTGCTTATACTACAAGGACATCTACCATTTTAATTATACCAGTGTTTTAAACTATTGCATGTAGACAAAGATTCAATTTAAGATGATGGACTGATATTCTGCCTCTCCCCAGCTATGCCAAAAACAAACTGAATTTGCCCGAACATCCATGTGAAAGTAATAAGACAAAGGGCTAAGGAAGAGATGAATGTTGGGGGGGGGGGGGGGGGAAAAGAAAGGGGGGAGAAAAGAGGGGGGGGTGGGGGGGGGGGGGGGGGTTTGTTTTTGTAAGTGGAGGTGGTTTACTTTGTCAAGTTTCCTTTAAAAAAAAAAAATCTCCCGCTTATGGCTGAAAAAAAACAAAAACAGCTTGGCCTAGAAACTTCATTGGTCTATATCCTGTGATACCAGAACTACTATCTTGGCTATCCTATAAAACTGCTCTCTAATTGCAACAAAACTTTCCAAGATCACAAATCAATCTTCAAAGTTGGCTTAATTTCATGATTTCTTTATGAATGGTAAAAATCCATACATATCATCACTTATTCACATAAAACGTAAGGTGGGAAGAAAAGCTGACACATCTATAAAACATGTAACATTTTGCTCAAGGCAAGATAACGGAGGTAACACAAGGGTTGTACTAAAAATTTCAATTTAGAAGGAAAATAAAAGCTACCAAGAAAGATTTTGAGCTTTGATGTTACAAAAGAGAAATACAATTGATGGTACAGAACGGTCGTCTCCGATTGGTAGGAATACAATATGGGCTATCTTATAATAAGCTCTTGTCTGACTTCTCTGTAACAGATTCTAACTTTTAAATACTGCTTTTGAATTCACTTACACTTGGTACAGTCATCCCAGTAGCCATTTGGTCAGATACTGTTATTATTCCCCAACACTGAGAATTCCAATAGCCTCATTACGTGTAGCAATTCACTCAGAAGACAATGCTTATTTTCTTATTAAATTACTACTTAGTCCTTAATAACTTTTTTGTGCTGTTATAAACCATCTTTAAAAGCTCACTGAAGTTTTAACCACTTCCAAATATTAGAATATTGGGTTTAATGTTTACAATTGTTCTGACTCCATTTTCTTAAAATCTTTCTTTGATTCTAGGCCTGGAGATGAGAGAGCCATCTAGGCCACCTGCTAAAACACCTTTTAAGCCTCTAATTTCCTTGCAGAGGGAAATGTAGCAGATCCAGGAGCAACTGAATCTCTGGCTGGAAAATAGAAAAGGATTCTTTCCCCAGCAGCGCAAGTGGCAGTGCACAGGCTACTTATTTGGAAGGTATACGCTGCATTGAGAATTTGACCCTTAGTACCAGATAACTGACATAAGCAACCGCAACAAAGACCTGACAACTTTTAATGCATATCAGATGTTTTAACAGAGGACAAAGCAAATGCTGTTTGAAGTATTCTGATGTTTAATTACAAATATATATAGTTGCATAATGAAATCACAAGAAGCGTCAAAAAAATAACATTGTAGTCTCCATTCACACAAAAGTCCTGCTTCCCAGCTCAAGTTTTCCCTTGATTCGTAACACTAAATGGAGCCCTAAATTTGACCACTGAAGTGTATCCTTAAAATAGGGCAGCAGTACGGAAAATTATTGACAGACATGCAAAATTAATATAACAGCACATGCAAAAGAATTTTTGCCAACACTGCTAGGACTGTGCCCGTGCTGTACCTAGCACCTGCCCATTAAAAGAATTAAAGATAATATAGAATAATCATTGAAAACCTTAACACAATGAATGCAGATGTTAAAATACTGAGCACATTAATATATTTTGCTTGAATTTGGCATACATTCTTTTATTCATTAACTTGACCCTAAATTTTAGTCTATATGATAAAGAAGATTTAAAGCAGCTAGGGCTTCCCCCCCCTTCTACTAAAGCTTTCCCATTAATAAAAAAGGAAACAAAGAAAATGAAGAAAGTGAGTAGTAAAACTTTTACAACATAATAAAATATATCAGAATCCCACGGCAGCAGGACTGAAATTGTCTAAAGATGCTGAATTATGGTAGGTTGTCATATAAAGTTCAATCCAGAGTATTAGCAATCATATGCTCTAGCAACATGTATATAATTGGAGATCTTCATAATAACCCCCAGTTTTAAAGGCTCATAAAATCCACTTTACTCATAATTTGGAGGAGGAAAGGAGAAATTATTAAATTAAAGTAACACCGTCCTCTCAGTATGAAAGACTTTGTAACAATACCAAATGTATTATCTTCAATGAGATCTTTCTAAAGGCCCTATTTTTCTTTCAGAATATTTAGAGAATAGTTCAAACATATCTTTTTGTGTATATATTTATCCACTCTCATACACACAAGAGAAAATGAGTATCACAGAGAAAAGAAAAACTCACTGAAAGTAAACACCATATTTTAAATTACTTTTGGATTCAGGTATTGGAGCACTTTAAGATAAATACTCTGGTAAGGCATTGTAATCAACAGTGAAACAAGCTCTATTGTTAATATAAAATGTGGTGTTTTTAGGAAGTGCATATAAATTGCACTTTTCCATGCTCCAATGTAAGTTAAAGATGCTGTTTCATTGAAAGTGTTAAAAAACCCATTTAAAACAAACAAACATTAGCTGCACTTGGTTCTCCTCTTACTTTCACAGATCTCTTTGAATTTTTCAGTTTCACTCTTGGCATTTTTAAAGAAACCCTTTCAATTTGTCAGCGATAGCTAGTGAATGAGCTTTACAAATTTCCCAATTAAACTGTCCATTTTCTGAAGTTTGAAACAAGGGCTAAGGAACAGAATGGTGACATTCTATGCAGAATAGTAAAATATACCCTGCTACATAACATAACTTTAGATTTTCCTTGAATAAAGCCTCTGGGGAATGAAAACTTTTTCACTTTTTAAATAACCCTATTTCAAGCTATTTTTTGTAATCATGCTAACAACCTATTCTTAAAACCAGTTAAAACAAAACAAGGATCAGTAAAGCCAAGTGTTTCCTACCTGGCACAGGTAAAGACCAGCTCTCATATGCCACCTTGGTATTGTCTAGACTACTAATCAGGCTCATATTCATGAGACACTAATGAACAAGAACAAATCTGTTGTGCCTTCCCTTCTTTTCTTAGCAAACCCTTCAGCACTGCGTTTCAATCCAGTAAGCTAAATGAGGAACCCACAGGCCAAACTAATTCAAATATAATGCTAGAGAGAAACATATTTTAAAAAAAGACTTACTGCTTGTCATGTGACTCGGTGAGGTATGCTGCCCATTGGGTGTGCTTGAAGTGAGGTCAATAGCCATGTGGGAGTGCTCTCTTTCAGGGGAAAGCTCATTGTCACCTGCTTTCATTAAACAAATCACTTGTAAGTTTCTGTCCAATACCTCAATAAAACTACCAAATTATAAAGGATTCAGCTTTTATTACTTCCCTCACCCTTGCTTTTCTTCCAATTTTAAGTCTCCCACAGCCAATTAAAATACGATTCCTTGGGGGCTGCAGACTAGTATTTGATTCTTTAAAAAAAGAAAAAAAATCAAAGAGTTCCCACCGATCTGCTGTTATTGATCCCAAAAGCAGTTTTAAAAATACTGTTGTCTTGAATGAACAAAAATGAAAACTATTCTTTTGCCCATTTCCAAACACCAGACTACTAAGTGTGAATCAGGGCTGATCAGGAAAGGAATAAAGTGTCATACTGAGGTAAAGACCTTCCACTTAAATTTGGATTCACAGCTTTCAGTTAGCTGGGAGTTGAACAACATTCCCTGACAAGGAAATGGGGAAATGAAATGTATAGCTAAAAATTTATGGCAATATAAATACTGACATTTTGTTTCTAATCTATGTTGTCATAAAGTAAACTCTTAAGTCTTATAGAAGATTCATTCACCCTTAGGAACCATTTAAGTACATAACAGTCTTGTAAAGAACTACCCAAACTTTATTATTTAGCATTACTACTCCAAGCAATTTCTTATAATAATAGTGACAGTACAAAATGACAGACTTTCATGCTTCCATGACACTTTATGTAGAGATATTGGAAGAAGGAAGTCAAATCAACAAAATTAAATAAAATTACTACTTACATGTTATATATCCATCAGTAGCCTCTGCTTCCATAGTCAAAGTGCAGTGCTGCAAAGCAAAAAGGTACGCACAGTCAAAGATGCCTGTTGGTATCAGCCATTAAATGATTAAACTTACTAAAAGCCCTCAGTAGTTGCCCATTTTGCTGTTGGTGCTGATGCAACCATTACCTAGAGATACATACAAGTACACTGCATGTGCTCATCAAATCACTGAACCCCTTCTGCAAATGATCTGATGCTGCTGCAGATGGGGCAGAAGCACTAACTTGGCTTATGGATGAACTGTACTGAGATACTATTTGTTCTCCGTTAATTGTAGTTTTACCTGCTTTAAGAATCAATTGGGAGGGCAAAGTGTTTGGGATTTTAGTGCCTTATCAATTATCAGGTCTCATAGCCACAACAGTCTTGGAAGGTATTGATATTATAGTGATATCTCTATTCACACTTATTCCATTGTCAGTTCACTGTGTTCAGAATAAAACAAAAACCTTCCATTTCCGTGTTCCTTTTAGAATCATTACAACCCTTTGTCTTCAGCTGCCATCTCTCTCTTACACATGCACACACCTGTTTGTTGTAACCCCAGTCATCTGCCACACTGTGGGTCTGAATGTCACATTTAATATTTCTAGATCATGCATTTTGTGGTGTGAGGCAATCTCAAAGTTTCTGGAAGCACTCTGCTGACAGAGTAAGCTATTACTTTCCAGAAACCCAAGTAACTGTATAGGATGACACCCCCTAGCTATCACTTGATAAAAAAAAAGATCAATAATCATAACTATATTCTTTTAAGTAGAAAAGTTAAGAAACTGACATGACCCGAAGAGAATGTTATATCCCCTCTCCCTCTACAGCCCCTTTTTTGCCTTTAGTTTCAAAACTCTCACTGCACCAGGCAGCTAAATTATTCACAATGAGCCATTTCTGTATTGATCGCCAAGTATATTTAGCCCTGGCTCCTGGAATTTCTCCATTACTTACTGGAAAACAGGCAGCTTCACTTCTTGTCTCCAAAACCACTTCCCTCCCTCTTGTACCACCCCCACCCCCAAAAAACATAAATAAATATTTTTCTCTGTGTTCCTTTTTTGTATAAGAGAGATCAAATTTCCAAGACAGTCAGTACATAACACGTACATTTCAACATACACAGTTACTATCAAACTCTCTCAATTACTGATTTTTACAAAGCTTTTTGTTTTGTTTTGTTTTGTTTTTAAACATGCTCTCTCAAAGTTTCTAAATGGACAACAGCCTTTTCAAAATTACCTTATCTTTCCCTTAGTACAGGTAGACAGACTCATTGAGGAAAAGAAAGAAATGTCAGGAGCAACAGGGAAAGATCATCCCAGCCAATGAACTGGAAGGAAAGCAAGGGGAGGAAGTAAGCAAAAAATGAAACATACATAACAAAAGGAAAAATTTCTTTGATTGTTGGGAAAAAGAAGTTTGATCACCATTTCTAGGTTTTGATGGCAGACCCCAGCTGCTAATCCTTGCTTCCCAGAGGAATGGAGAGCTAGTTATGTTCGTGCTGAAGGTACAGCAAGATGGGGAAAGTTTGATCAAAAAGGAGAGAAGAAAAAAATCCACCCCCAGAGACGTCCCCTCCCCCGAAACTTACAGGTAGGACATTCAGAGCAAAGGATCGGTAGGGAAACTAAAGAGAAATAAGCCAGGAGAAGCCTTTCCCCCTCTCTGGGATGATCTTGTTAGGAAACTCACTCAGGAATGGCAAATACTTTCAAGGAAGATGAAGAACAAAAAGAGAAAGAGAGAGAGAGAGAGAGAGGGAGGGAGGGAGAGAGGTCAGCCAGTGCTACAGCAATGCGATTAACCAGGAGAGAGAAAAACTTGATCCACCGGTTCCTTAAGAATCGACAAGAAAACTGGAGGGAAGGGGGGGGGAGGGGGGGGGATTTGGCATTTGGGGAGGGGGGGGAGGAACAAGACGGGAGATAAAATAAAAATAAAGGACAACACACAGAGACACAGAGAGCAAGAAACCTAGGCCAACTTCACAGGATTGTTTTTGGCCCTTGGCAAAAGAGAGAGATCTCAATTTCATCTCCGTCTCTCCCCTTCCAGAGCAGAACCTGTCAAAGTAATTTAAGTCCTGCCTTTTTTTTTTTTTTTTTAAATACCGTGAGTGTCATGCCAGTAATTAAAAAAAATAAAGGACCTGGATCTCTCTTCTGGGGAGTTGCAGCTAGAAGAGGAGGCTCCTGCAAATTGCAATTCCAACCCCTGTCAGCAGTTTCTAGAGGTGAGGACTGATTAATCGATTAACATCCCAGAAACCAGATCTTAAAAAGAGAAAGGGGGTAGGGGGTGGGAGGGGGCACCCAGACATTTCCAGACCCCAATACCCTTCAGAGCCAGTCGCTCCTTCTTTGCCCAAATGAGCAGGCTTCTCCCCTGCCTCCAAAGGCGCCTCTGTGCACAGACGCATCTATTTATTATTGTTATTATGGCTTAACAGCAACAAGTCATTCCGGAGATGCTACATAATTGCACTTTCCTGGGCGACCCCTCGGCTTTGCCAAGCAGCTCCATGCCCACGCCGAGACAGCCGGCTTAGGAAGCACAGCACGAAGCAGACAAGAGCTGATCTCCCCCTTGCAAGGAAAAAAAAAAATCAAGAAAGAAAGAAAAGAAGAAGAAAAAAAGAGCCAAGCGAAGATTTACCTCAGCAGTGCATGCAGTGAATCACTTCCATCACCCTTTTGTTTGTGTTTTTATTGGGGTCGCCTCTGCCTCTCTCTCTCTCTTGCCCAAGGACTGTGTGTTTGTGCACTGCAGTTGGTTATGGAAACTAAGGCAGTGGATCTGTAGCTAAGGGTAATCCTGTTTTTACTTCCTCCATCTTCAGAGAGCAGGGTTAGCCTGGGACAGCTGGTCAAACCCCGAGAAACCGATCCGGCGGGCGGGCGGGCGCGCACACATCACACATCTCGCCCAGGCAGCCGCGCTCCCAGACACCCCGAGCCGGGAGAGGCGGCGCGGGGAGGGCGTGCGCGCCTGTGTGCGTGTGTGTGTGTGTGTGCGCGTGTGTGCGCTGGCAGCGCCGCTCCGCGCGCTCGGCAATCGATTACAGGACAAGTGCTGCTTCTGCCGCTCCCCGCCGCGCGCACACACACACATACACACACACACACGCGGGCACACGCACACGCGCGCTCCCTCTCCCCGCACAGGCTCTCAAGGTTGAGGTGCGGCGGAGCGCGCGGATGACGGCCGCCCGCTCCCGAGAGCCATTACAGCCTCCCGGCCCGAGGAAGAAGCGGGGCTGCGTTTCTTTCTTTGCTGCCTGAATGAACTTAACCCCCCCGCCCCTGGCTCTCGGAGTCATGATTCAGCACTTCTATTTTTAAACTTTCCTGCTCGCTTCCCTTCTGCCCTGCCAAGCAGCGCGGATGCCCGGGGCGCGAGGGCGGCCCGGCTCGGATGACGACGTGTCTTGCTCAGAGCCGAGCCCCGGCACGTCTCGGCGCCCACCCGGCGGGCCGCGGGGCCTGGCTGTCATGTCAGTGCGCGGCCGCTGCCCGGGGAAGTGCGGCCGCACACCTGGCCGGCGACACAAAGGGAGCTCTGGGCGCAGGGACACACACGGGCAGTGGCAGGCGGTGTCAAAGTCCTGTGCTGCGCTGGACTCGCCAGCTCTGCAACTTTGTTTATCGGCTCTGCCCTAATTACGGGCGACAGGAGAAGGGGCAGGAAGCACGACATGAAATGTTCCAGCACTCCAATTACTAGTATTCCTATTACCATGATTACAATTATTATCATTCATATTACCATTCCTACTATTATCACTATTGCTACTATTACCATTACTATTACTCTTATTCCCATTATTTCCATTATTATTACTATTAACATTATTGCAATTATTATCATTCCTATTACCATTACTATTATTACCATTCTCATTATTATTACTATTCCCACTATCCCCATTATTATAATTCATATTACCATTATTACTATCACTATTACTATTATCACTATTTCTTCTATTACCATTATTACTGTTACTAATAATTACTATTACTATTATATTATTGTTATTACTATCATTCATATTACCATTATTACCAGGGATCCTGGTTTTCTCCGATTTAAAAAATCCCCAATTTTCAGTTAAAAAAAGTAACCCCAAATCCACATTTTCCCATGATTAAGATTAAACAACTCTCTCTATATATATCTCTATATATTGGTGGTGTTTCATTTAAATCACAGGAAAAATGTGGATTTGGGGTTACCTTTTTAAGCAAAAACTGGGGATTTTTTTAAATCAGAGAAAACCGCGATCCCTAATTATTACCATTACTCCTATTATTACTATTACCATTACTACTATTACTAATATTACCATTATTCCTTTTACCATTATTAGGATTACTACTATTATTCCTACTACCATTATTATTACTGCTATTACTACTGTCTAATAGAGCATTCATTGCATATGTAAAACAGGAGTCTAGAAAAAGGTTCTCCTTGGAGAAAAAGAGAATTAATATGTTTCTCTTGGTTCAGATATAGATATATAGATATAGAGACTGATACTGGCTGTGGGAGATGGATAGCATTTTCCCAAGACAATTCACAAGGCAGACAATATTTAAATATGATGCAAAAATATGTTAAAGTGAGATATAGGCTGTGAAGATCTTTACATGGGATTTGATCCAGAGTCCACTGAAATCAATAGGGTCATTCCATTGTCTTTAATTTAAGTTTGATTGGGGCCCAATAAGAACAGTCCTTTTCTTCTAGTGTGCTTTAAATGAGTGAAATATAGGAATATTTGCAATACAATTAGGCATCAGGGTTAACACAATATTGACATAAGGGGGAACAGTTCAGACTTACTTCAAAACTACCACTTATTTATTGTATCAAATGATACTATAAATTATTAAATACATAACATTTGAACCCTCAGAAGTTAACAAGTATTGAGATTAAGGCTCTGCCATTTAAATAAGGCACTAATTTAAGTAGTAGGATGTCATCCTTCCACCAACCACTAGAGGGGGATGAGGCACACAGTATTGTCAGTGGGTTTCATAGGTGTTTGCTGAGAGTAGAGAATAGTGAGATTATTTTATTTATTCCACTAAAGTTCCCATCCCACAATTATCACCATAATCTCCGAGTGCCTTCTAGTAGTGCATGAAGTGATGTGAGTAACTTCTGTCATGTGTTTGTTCTCTCATCCTCTCCCAAGGGGGAGTACTATGTGCAGAGGGTTGTTCTATTTTAGTGTTTTGAATAATATATATATTACACAAACACATGGGTAGTGCTGTGTGTTTATGGAGTTTGCATGGTTGTGGATTTGGGAGCCTTGGGTTCCTTCCAGGTTCTGCTGAGAAGTGTACTTTAGAGGTCCAAGCCCTTCTGCCTGTTTGCCCAAAGCCAGATTCAACCGTCCTACACCTCTGCTACTGGCTCCTTAGCCCAGACACACTGGTAGCTGGTCCTAGGTTCCACCATTCTAGGTTCTTTGTCATAGCAGTCCTAGGTTTTTTCTCTATGCTCCCTAGATACAATATTCTCTGTGGTTTCATGTTCCCACTCCTTGTCCCAGTCCCATTTTCCCCCCATTGGTCTTCTATGCCCCTCCCCTACACTCCCTCCCAGCTCTCAATCCCAGTCTTTTCTCCAAGCTTCAAACACCACTCCCCTTGTCCAACAGCTCCTTGCCCCAGTTCTCAGTCTCCCTGTAAAGCTCCTTGTCCCAATGTCTTCCCTCCACTGCTCTCCTCCCCACTCTAGTCCACTTCTTGACCTCTCTGCACTAAGTCCATCAGCTTCCCCCACCATACTGCCTCACTAACAGGAAGAATATACTGACCAGCTGAGAGAGACAGTCTCTTTGCTCTGAGTTTTGGTGCCTGGTGCCATACCAGCCCATAGCTGTCAGGAGCAGAAATTGCAACCCTGGCAGTTCTGGGATGAAGCATACTCAGTGCAGATGGAACTGTCACAGAATCCAGCTGCCAAACACTTAACATGGATCAACTATGGACATGCAAAATGATATTTTTTCCCACTAGCTCATAACTTCACCAAACCTGGGCAGTTTCTCCTGGGCACAGGAAAAAAAAGCACATCCTTGAACTCCCCTACCACATTGCAAGTCCCTGCTCAATGGTACAGACACTAGAAGTTCTTAATAAAACAGTTATAAGATTAAAAGAAAAAGCTTGGCAAAACTAGGTATTCTCTCCTAATCTTCCAAATGAGACTTTTTAAAACTGAATTAAACTGAATTTAAAATTGAAATATATATATAGATAGATCATCTTGAGGCAAACAACCAGCCTGGAGAATTTCAGCCTAAACAATTAAAGTTTGGCAAAAAGCAACTGAAAATACAGTGTTATAGCAAAGCTGAACAACCTTATCTATAGACAGCACTACCAGCTTTGCCTGCATACCTAATATGTACTTAGAGATACTGTATTATCAGTTGCTGATAACTTTGCCAAACTTCATTGTTTGAGCTCAAATCACCCATGCTGGGTGTCTACATCAAGATGATTATCATTATTATTTTAATTCATAAATATTCAGTAAAAATGGTAGATACATAAATTATAAGCAATAAAGTAAAACCCAAGTCCAGTATCTGAGGTACTTTGCACCATATCAAAGTACCCCATAAAGCATTTTGTTGTCCAGCTCCTCAGTCAAGATATTATTAAAAATGTACTAATAAAAAGGGTACAGAAATCAAAGACACTAATAAGGGTAGTATATATTTCTGTACACAACCCAAGCATTCAAGACCTATTAGCTAAGTAAACATTGCAAAACATCTGTGAGCAAGATAGGCTTTATTGTTTGCATGTTGCGTAGGAGAAGGAAGGAAAGTTAAGTGACTGGCCCAAGGCCACATACAGTAGTACTAAAAAAAATGAGCCTAGAAAGCAGATCTTTTATTTCCCACGCCTATGCTCTAACAACTAAACGTGGCCTGTCTACATGGGAAAATAGACTGGCAGAATTACAGTGGCAAAATTATGCCTGTTTTTAGCTATGCTGGTACAACTACCTTTGTACAGACTCTATTTCAGAATAAGAGTAACCTATTAAGTTCTGATCTTATGAAGTAATTTATAAAAACAACTCTTATTTGAGGATATTATCCACACAAGGAGTTAATTTCCCTGGCCTGAACAAGTTTTTGCTGCCCCTTCAACAGAGGAAAATAATACCAAGAAAGAAAAATATGATAAACATTGGTATTTTTTTTCCTAAATTCAAAAATTGATCAACATTTTTTCAACTTTGATCAGCTCTGTAGGATGGTCATAAAGTGCATGGAAATATAAAAATATAATTGGAATATTTTTTCTTATTTTTTGCCTTATGAACATTTTTGGTGATATTTTTCATCAAAATTTTGAAACTTGAAAATGTCAATGATCTCTGCTAACAGTCAACTATCTTGATGAATAAATAGCCAGAATTAAATAATTAAAGTAATTAACTAATTAAAGTAGTCAGAACCCAGCTCATCTAGCCTTCTCTTATTTTTTACTACACTTTATTAATTTTTGTTTTGGTTCCTCTATAACTTTTCAAATAATAAGCACGTTTTGAAAAAGTACAATGTAACCAAAGGAAAAATTGGAGGGAGGGAAGGAAAGAATTTTAAAATTAGTTTCAGTAATTCTAAGACCAAAAACATTAAAATCTGGTAATTATATTATGATACTTGTCTGGAATCACAGGCTGTGTTTCAAGTGAAAAATTCAACTCAGCCTCAACTCAGGACTTGAGACCTGGGTACTCCAAGGAATGATAGTCATTAAAGCAATTGTGATGATCTTGAGGTTAGAGCACTGAACAGGGGAATCAGGAGTTCTGGGTTCAGTTTCAATCTCTGCCACAGATTCCGTGTATATTAGGGACAATAATACTT